CTTTGCATTTAGCTACAATTTAAAAAAAAATATTGCACACTGAAATGTTTAACCAACAAGATGAAGATGGTAAGCCTGCTAAACACAAACATTGTAGCGTTGTCATTGTTAGCATGCCAATGTGAGCTTATAGTACAGTTCTGAATCACATAACAGCATGGCTGCATTGATTATTTTAGAGCATGCCAGCCAGTTGCCGACTTGGTGAAAATTGTTGGTTGTTTTGGTTTTTCGCTCTGCAGGTAGAGAGAACTTTGTCTTTACTTAAACGCACATTTCCTCTGATTTGGGTTGCTGGCGCAAACTAAAGACCTCGGAGTACGTGACATCGTCTGTGTGCTTCTCATCCGGTGAAGGTGCAGAGTCTCTTGATCGTTTGAGCTTGACGTCAGAATAAACCACATTCTGTCAATTTTGGTGAGAAAGAGATTAGTTGGAGGCCTGCTCAGTTGTATCATTAGGTCGCTTTGTTGAAACAGTGGCAGCACTACTACATTTAAACTGAATGAAATGCATCCAACATGTGGTTTCAAACCAGCTCACCTCGTCTCTCACAATGAAAGACTGTCTGCCCACATCCACCTGTGCACCACCTGTATCTGAAAGACGAACATGCGTTAAGTCAGGGGAACTAAAACACACACAAGATATAAATGAATTGAGTTGTGCAGAGTTGTTCTCACCTATGGAGACACGCTGCCTGGCCGTAGCATCACATCTGGGTGAAGGAATCAAGAGTCCAGTGATTATGAAATTGCTTTACAGTGCATCCGGAAAGTATTCACAGCGCTTCACTTTTTCCACTTTGTTATGTTACGGCCTTATTCCAAAATGGATTGAATTCATTATTTTCTTCAATATTCTACACAAAACAACCCATAATGACAAAGTGAAAAATGTTCAGTATCTTTTCTTTTTGTATAAAAGTAAATGTTACTTTTCTAAGGCTGCTACATTCTTATGCAAAATAATCACACACATACACACACACACTCACCTTCTGATCTGATAAACAACGGCTGCAATGACCACTAACAGCACAATGACAGCAATCACTATAGCAGACACCGACCCGGAGGATAACGGCATCTGTTCTGAAGAAATATGATGCTGAATTTGAGATCATAATAACAATTAATTTATCACTGATAATTTGTTGAGAGATAAAAAATGTATCCGCTAATAGGGACGGTAGGATTAGAAAATATAAAACAAAATATTGTATTCAAATTTGGTTTCTGGCTTGGAGTAATACTGATTTTAATTCTCTCACCTTGAACATGAAGCTGGGTGGTCCCTTTAAGTGAACCACTAGGAAAGGCTGTAATGCTGCAGGTGTAAGACCCTTCATCTCTCATTTCCACTTTGTGGATTATCAGAGATTCTTCTTTAATCTCTACTCTCCCCTTTAGAAACGAGTCTGAAACATTAACTCCGAATTTGTGATGAGAAACAACAATGTTGATTTTCTTTCCTTTTGGTGGTTGCAGCTCCCACTGAAGCTGATCCTTGGTATCGCTTGGCCCTGGGATGAATTGGCATGGCAGTGTGACATCGTGGCCGAGGTATCCCGTCACTGAAGGCAAGACTTTGACTTTTTGTGCTTGATGAATTGCCAAAACATGTAAAATTAAACACAAACTGAGTTATTTCTTCTTCCACCTTGTTTTAGACGTCCTTTTCTGTGGTTTGGCACATTGTTCAACACATTTTACAAAATGTTGACTGTAACAAAGTAAGTAACATCAGTGTATTTAAAAAAGCTATATTTTTATGAAACCGTCTTAAACAAACATTTTACATTATTTCAAACCAATATTATCTTATTATATATCACCATGACTTTTAAAAGTTTACATTTTGTCTTACCTGATATTAATGAAAAAAAGATCATCTTCAGAACTGCAAGAGGTGCTTTGCTGGAGGTTTTCATTGTTCAAAGCTACAACAAACAATACCCATTAAAGTTTAACACCACAACGCTTTTACCTTAAATCAACATGACAAACTTACTGTTACGAAAGAGGTCAATCCGCTTTGCAGGTGGTTTATTGAAGACTGAAAGAATGACAGCATTGGAACACAGAATAAAAAATCATCGGCAGAGAGGAACCACCTCCAACACGCAGTGTTGTTATCAAAAGAGGAACCTTGTCTGACCCATAATATGTGCTCAGCAAAAATCAAGTCACAATATGACTAAAACACATAAGTGTGCAAAAGCATTTTGTTCGGTTTAACTTTCCATTATAAACTGTCATTTCGCTAAAACATGTAAAGCAGCATGTGTTGCTTTTGCAGGACTCTTCAGAAATCCACCTTTTTTTATAATAATTTAGTATTTGTGATATTGTGATATGAAACACACCGTTAACTGCTAACACACACACACAGGTAATTTTTACACAAAAAATTGTCACATGTGTACTTCTCTCCTGGCAGGTCCAGGTCCCACCAACTTCTGCAGCTCATCAGGAACGCAGCAGCTCGACTGGTCTTTAACCTTAAATTCTCCCACACTAGTCGGCTCTCTGCTCTCCTCTCTCATTGTGAGTCGCTTTGGATAAGTGACATGTAATGTAATGTAACTCACTCATTATTATTGATACCCAAGATCATCTTTTATTTGGTTTATTTGGAGAACTGTTGATAGAACATAGTCAACTGGCAAAATTATAATTTTGTGATAAAAATTATATATTTGTATGTATTTGTATTTCGTGATATCATTTCAAAGACTGATTATTAGTGCTGTTCAATGTCAAATATCCTCTTTTTATCTGCGTACTTTGTGTGGATTTCGCCAGATGGGGTCAGTTTGTTTCTCTTTGATTGACAGCTTTAGTTGAGATGCCGGATGACACCAGTATGAGGAAACAAAAGAGCATAAAGCATACGCCTCCTACATCATCTACGTGCTCTCTGGATAAATTAGCCCCAGGTGTTGAAGAGTAATCGGGGCCGGGGATGCAACGCTTTGCCTGTTTCAGTTGGTGGAACTCAGCTTGTTGCCTGCATGTAAATTACTGGTCTTACGGCGCAAAACAGGAATAACAACACGACAGACACAGCTCTGCATTCCCCGGAGCCAAGGCTCACACTGTGTTTCCATGTCAGAGGCTGTGGTGCATTGAGCCTTGTGAATGTGTTGGTAGAGCATCAATAGCTAAAAGTTGCAGCAAATACTCACAGTAATATGATGTCATTAGCCATAGATAACGCTTCACTACTGCAAGACGCATATAAGAGGAAAAGACAAGAAGCAATCAGGCCGACAAATTACCACCCACACAAACTCTAATAATTTAATTTCTTCATTTCTACATTTCTACATTTCTTCAGAACTGTCCCTGTCAGTCAGAATGTTTGACAGCGACAGGAGGGGTTTGCTGCAGTAAACTCTTTAACACGCCGATGCTCAGGGCAAAGATTATAAACTAGGTCAAAATCCAGGATCACATTATTTACAAAAAATCCACACTGGAGTGGAGCACTGATAAAGCACTGGTAAAAGGTATTTCTCATGTCCTGGCTCATCAAGGTGATTCCAATTAGGATTTCTGGAGATGGGAAATCCTAATTTCTAATAATTCCTAATTTGAAGGAATAAGTGTCTTTTTATTGTTAACTGTAAAGCGCTGTGTCATTTGGAATTAAACTAGTGATAATATCTGAAGTACCAGTTACTGTGTGAAAATCAGCTGCTGTTCTTTGTGAGACCAAATGAAAGCGCAGGTGTTTATTTGTACTCTTACATCTGCCAAAGTCTGTTTAATAAAGACTCACATAATAATTGTTTTTCCCATGTGATATTTGTCAATTCATCTCACAGATGACAAGCTGCGACGTCAATATCTATTGAGTCAAATCAACATTTCTTGTGCAGAACATTTTTATTGATTTTGATCAGGGTCCTGATGCGTCGGAGAAGGAACCTGGAGAAAACAAATGTACAATGTAAATAAGTATGACATCTAGAAAGAACTAATAGATAAGACAGATATTCCATCTTTTTTAGATAATCTCACCTGCTAACTCCTGATTATTGCGCTGATGAGAAGCAATAAATACGACCACTGGGGAGCACTGCAGGATGCTTTATGAAGTACAGAAAAAACAAGCAGCATCAGCACTTGGAAGCTTGCTTTAAAATGTAGACGACACGGACAAAACAACCATGACAGTTAACAAACATGCATGTTATTTACAAATGAATGAATGCATCACTTTCTTGACTCTATTTAAAAGGAGACATCTCACCTTTCAGGTTCAGAACTGTGGAGTTTTCCAGCATAGTCACCATATTTCTGGCAGTGCAGGTGTAATTCCCCATGCGTTCTACCTCAAACCGCTCTATGGTGTACACGGAGTTATTCACACGCATGTCGTTGCCGTTGAACATCCAGCTGAAGTTTGCTGGTGGGACAGAGTCTGCTGTGCACTCCAGTGCGACTCTCTGGCCAGGTGCTGCTGCTGATGGTCCAATAATTGATATGTTATGTGGTCCAACTGCACAGAGAGGAGAAAGTATTAAGTATTAAGGTCCCTAACATTAATAAAAGTACTAATATGACACTTTGCAATTGATAACCCCTTTCAAGTAAAGTCCTCCATGTACAATGTTGCACCATTTAAGGTGTTTAAGTAATCAGAGAAATGTAATACAAGTGGTGAAAGTAAGTAGGAAGAGTACAAAGTGGTATTATGAGAAAATGTACATCAAGCTAATACTTGAATATTGCGTCGTCTGTGTAACTTAAATATAGGTTTAAAGTCACATTTTTACACTGAATAAACAAGACTACTTGAGTGCTATACAGTTTTCTTATTGCCATGCATAACTACTACTAATACTACTAATAACATGCAAACACATTTTAGAGCACATTTTCAAAGTTTTTAACAAATGCCCACAATTGTCTTTTTGAAAATAGTCCTGTTTGTTTTCCCAAGTGATTTGAGTGAGCCGTACTCACAGTTGACAGTGAGATCTCGGGCCACAGTCACGGTGCTGACTGGGTTGCTGACTCGACACTGGTAGGTGCCGTGGTGGGAGCTGTGAACTGGCTGCAGGAACACCGTCTTGTTGTCCACGGAGAAGGTGACCCTCCCACTCGGACGGAGCGGCCGCTTGTCCTTCATCCACTCAATGGTGCTGATGGAGCCAAGGGCCTCGCAGCTGAGGTTGGCCGAGCTTTTGTCTTCTATCAAGATGGCTGCAGGGCTGCTGGTGATGGTCGCTTCAGTTATCAGCGCTGACCGAACACAAAGTCAACATAGTGAATGAAAGGATGAATGTGGGAATCAATCGCTTTGATTTTTTGTCTTGAGAAGAAACCTTTTTCGCTCCACACATTACATGTGGGCATGACAACTATACTATTACCTCTAAATCCATGAGAAAGGGGTGAAAAAAGTGGAGGATTACATTAAAGCGCTTTTTAATTTTTTAAAATGTAATACGATCAGCTTGGAAAAGGCTGCATTCTTTGCAAGACTGCTGTAATAGGTTAAATAAAATGTTCCACCACATTGTTCACCAAAGGTCTCGCTGTATTAAGCAATATGGATTAAAACTAATATTTCTGAATCAAAATTTGAATAATGTGATATCCTTTTGAGTGTGTTAAAAACGCCTCACAGGTGCTTTTACCATCAGAACATTGAACCCACCATACACATTCAGTGTGGTCTTCCCCTGTTTGGGCAGCCCCGCGTCCGGTATGATGGTTACGGTGTACTCCCCGGTGTCCGCCAGCACCAGGTTCCTGAGCTCCAGGGCGCCCGTGGCGCGGTCCAACGAGATCCGGTTGGCATATTTGGGATCAGTGATGTTGGTGCTGGTGGAGGTGATGATGTTGTCCTCTTTGAAGCTCCAGCGGACTGAGAGAAACAGACTCTGGGGAGGTTTGAGCGTAGTGGAGAACGTCACCGCGCCCGCCACAGCTCCGCTCAGAGGCCCCGGGGGTAGGACATCCTCGCCCGCACACCAACCTGATCACAGACAATAGAAAATTAGCATTTTGTTATAATACAGCACATCAGAAAAGCGTGACACAAAACCACATCCTTTTGCTTCAGTTTACCTGATAAAACAAGCGCCAAACAAGCAACCCTCCCGAGCATCTTGAAACCCTCAAAGGACTGATGTGTGTTGTCTCACAGTGCCCTCTGGAATCTAAGGTCACGGGCGCTCCTGCTCTTTTATCCTCACACAGCAACAGCACAGGACCCCCCCCCCCCCCCTTTCCCTATACTCAGTTATGAAAAGCACAAATACTGTTTACGATGTCGCCGTGTAAACACACCGAAACTCCTGAGGGTCTGAGTTCAGTCAGAAGATGCCGATGAGCTCATTCGACTACGCATCGGCAGGCCGAGGCGTGTTGGTGGAAACCCGCTGTGTGTTTTACGAGCTCGCCGGTGAGTGCTTTTGGGTCTCTTAGAGGATGGAGTGTCAGTGAGGCGTAGCATTCCTCCAGCAGGAGGATCAAAGACATCCAGGAGACACTTAACCTCCCTCAGGCAACTTCACCAACAACAACCAATGTCTGCTGCTAGACTGCTTTTTTAAAATGTAGATATGTTATACTGTGCCTCTAAATCTTTGTGCGTTTCTTATTTCGGTATTTTCTTTTATTATAAAAGTCTGATTAGTAACAATTCCAACACTGATTCCAAACATCGAAACAATGACACATTCAAACTGTGTCACATGTGTCCATAACTCCTGACATTTAAATGTGCACAACGGGAAGTGAAAAGTCAAAAACGTCACTGTGGCTTCTCAATAGCTGAAAGTAAATATAATAATAAATATAATGTTGCTCAACCACTGCTGTCACACTGAGGGAAATGGAGGCAATTTGGCTAAGTTGGTGCTAATTTGGTTGTGTTCCTAAAGTCAAACCAGAATCAAGCTTAACTGTTCCTTGAACTCATGAACTCCAAAACTGGAAAGTTCACAACTCTAAACACCAAGTTCACTATTGAGTGCTCCAATCCAGAAACCAGCTTTATGTGAAACAAAATGCATTCTTAACATAGGTGGTGACGCTACATCTGTGCGTTTTTATGAGCTCTAAATGGATCCATTGGCCATTCCAAGTCTGTAAAGTTTACTGTCATGTAAACGACGACCACATTTCAACAGACAGACGCAGTTTGCATTCAAATCCTTCCCTTTTGTTCAATACCATAAACACTTCAAGAGAGTGCTGTTTTTGAAAACATTGAGATTGTTAGGGTTGCTGAGGACTGGATCCAAAAGCAGAACCGGAGACAAAGTTTTGAGGTCAAAAAAGAAATTATTTATTTCTCGAGAGGCTCGTGAGGAGAGGGCCGTGAGTGGGCGGCCGTGCAGGATACTGCGCCACGGCTGCGTAAGCGTGCTGCGCTGCGCTGCGCTGTGCTGTCGAGTCGAGTCGAGTCGAGTCGATGAGAGATAATGATCCGACAAGGAGGCCTGTGAGACAGCAGGCTATAACTCCCGATGGTGATTGGTGATTGGCCACAGGCGAGGGTAGTGAGAGAGCGCCCGTCCCGCCCAGCCTGAGAACACAGGAGCGCCAGCCAGCACCCAGGATCAAAATATACAAAATGAGTGGAGGCCAAGAAATCATAATCATCACAGAGGTTCCTTAACAGCGTGCATTTTTTTACAAACACCAGTTACCAGGAATGTAGTTTATGAAAAGCACTTTGACGTAGGACAGACATTATACTCATTAGGCCTTAGATATTAAATTCTGCTGTAGCTCTGCTTCTGAGTTAATAGAGTGCCGCGTTGTATTGTAAAGGTATCATTTTTGGTGTCAGAGCCATGACATGATAAAGGACTTCTAAGTCAATCACTCAATTTGTTTTTGAGGGTTGTTTTTTTTTGTTTTGCAATTAGTAATGCATGTTTTTTTGTATGATTATATAGACACCATATTTGAATCTGATCATTTTTAGAAAATCTTTATACAAAAATTATATATTAAAGAGACAGTTTTTCAAAAGCAGTAAAACACCAAACTGAGCCTCATTGGCTGCCAAACGTGTGACCTTCGTCTGTCCTTGTCCTGGTCTCACCCAACTTTTAGATTAATGATTTGTGTTTGTACTAGAAATAATATTATGATAGTCAAAGATACAATACAGCTATGGCTCCATAAATACCTTTGCTTTGGACCTGAGGGCCTCGTTACACACTCAAGATATTTTAATACTTGATAGAGCAATTAAACAAGTCAAGATTAAATTGAGTACAGTTCAGAATAAGTATGGTTTATGTTCAACTTAATTTACATCGGACTGTTCAACATATCAATATATATATATATATATATATATATATATATATATAAGCTCATATAGCGTATTGTGACTCTAGAGAGCAGTACATGGTTGCGTCTGCAGAGATCTTCTACAGAAGTGATTGAAGGACCTGACTCATTCCAGAGAAAATCAACACATGAAATGTGCCGCTTGTCTTAATGTTTTTGTGGATCTATGAAAATGTTTTTCTGTTGTATTCAGAGGCAGTGATACAGAAGGCACTGAGGATCTACACAAAGTGTTTATTGAATACACACCAAAATACAAAACACTTGACATATCAATTGACACATTCTTTGACACTTTATCTCAATTGTGATTGTTATGCAAAGTATTTATTTATTATTATTTAATGTTTTAATAATTATATATTTGTTATTTAAATCATTTTCCTGAGCATTTCGGGACAGAGTATATCACATGTGTGGAAAGCCCTCTGAGGCAAATTTGTGATTTGGGTTATACAAAATAAAATGGATTCAATTGAGTAATCACGGCAAAAACTGACACTAGCACCCTGTGAGGGCTACAAGCCCGCCAAAGTATCGCAGACAAGTTGAATGCATAAGTGTGTGAATCTATGTGTGGGCGGATCAGTAAGTATTTATTATTCATAATCAGAAATTCGATCAATTGAAGCAGTGAAACGAACAACATCCAGAAGTTTATTAAGCAACAAATAAACTGTTTATTTTACGAGCTTTACGAACAGCACGAAATGCAGCGGATTTCCGGATGTTGTCTGCATCGCAACACTGTACAAACATATGAGAGACAGTGTGTGCAAAAGTATGAGAGACAGTATGAGTCAGACTGTGTGACAGACAGTATACGACAGTGTGAGAGACAGTCTGTGGCACAGTGTGTGAGACAGTGTGAGAGACAGTATGAGACAGTGTGAGAGACTGTGGGACAGTGACAGTGGGTGTGGTGTGGTGTTCACCACATTGGGCTTGAGTAGGTCTTCTTCTAAATAAATGATCCCTTGTCGGCAGCATCGATGGCGCTCGTACAGGACGTCATTGTGATGTCATAACGGATCTTTGTGATCTCTGATGTCCTGCTATGGTGATTTTGCCAAATTTCTTCGTGGAACCGAAAAGCCTGATCTATGTAATCATATCCTGAAAATTATCCAGCTAACTCAGCTCGGTGCGAGGAACGGGGCCCCGATGTACTTCTTAGCAACAAAGCTCTGGTGAAGCCTCACTACGTTAATGGACAGTGAAAATAGGAATGGCTTTTGACAGTAAATGCAGCAGAAATACCAATAAAAAATCTTTACAAACACATTAACTGTTGAGATTAATAAGGTAACAATTATGTTGTGATAAATTTGTCGTCTTGTTGTGGAGCTCTTTGTCTTTCAAGTAGCCTGCAGGACAATAAGTGAAGAGGGAAATGTTACTCGTGGTGTTTTGGCTCTGATCAACTGTACAGTATGTTAAAAGTGTTTCATGCTGTCATTTCTTTATATAAGCTGTGTTCAATTATTTCCATAACAACCTCTCTGTGTATTTTCCTATAAAATCAAATCATCTATTTTTTACCACATAAGATTAATACATTTAAAAACTCACCTTTTTAAGGTATAGACAATGTTTT